GACGGTTCGTCGCTAATTTTGCTACAATTGCCAAACCCCTACATGCTTTGACATCAAAAGGGGTTCGGTTCCACTGGGGTCGGGATGAGGAAGTAGCTTTCTGCTCCCTTCGGGATGCATTGGTGAAGGCTCCTCCTTTGACTTACCCCGATTTTTCGAGGCCGTTTTTGCTCGACACCGACGCGAGCAACACAGGTATCGGAGGCGTGCTTTCCCAGGTGGTTGATGGCGTGGAACGGGTGGTTGCGTACGGCAGTCGGGTGTTGTCTCCAGCGGAGCAAAAATATTGTGTCACCCGTAGAGAACTGTTGGCAATTGTTTTCTTCATCCAACAGTACCGCCCATATCTGTACGGTCAGCATTTCACTGTCCGTACGGATCATGCGGCACTGCAGTACGCCCTGAAGGTTCAACAGCCATCGGGACAATTGTCCCGATGGCTGGAGGTCCTCCAGGATTTCGATTTTGACACCACCTATCGTAAGGGCATTCGCCACACAAATGCGGACGCTCTGTCGCGCATGCCAACCACCTCCGAATGCGCATGCCTCCTGGGGTCGGGGCGTTGCAAGCCAGCTGGGGACATGACGGTTCCAGTCCTGGCGGCCGCCGCCGATGTTGACACATCGCTCCCCGATGAGATCGGGAAACAGGGAAGGGATTCCCTGCTTGGGTTGCCTGTGATTGAGTGGGGACGCCTCCAGATGGAGGACGCCTCCCTCCTCGCGCTGCGTCGTCGCGCCAGGGAGAGGGGGTGTGGGACGGGTGATGCCGACAATTGGGAAATACACGCGGGCTTGCTCATGCATTGGGACGGTAAATCCCACCGTCACCGGCTGGTAGTTCCTGCGGGGTTACGGGGTAAGGTGGTGTGGGCTGCTCATGAGCGCCTCCTCCACCTGGGTACCCAAAAGACCCTCGCCTCGCTCCAGCTGGATTTTTTTTGGCCGGGCATGACACGGGATGTCACGGATCTCCTGGCAGCATGCCCCCGGTGTGCGCAACGCAAACCACCAGCTCGGGAGTCGAACCCGCCGTTGCAGTCCATCACAGTCTCCAGGGTGAACGAACTCGTAGCGTTGGATATCCTGGGGCCGTTTCCCGCCACCCCTAGGGGCAATAGATATTTGCTAACAGGGGTCGAATACTTCACACGCTGGCCTATGGCCTGGCCCCTGGCAAATCAGTCGGCAGCAGCCATCGTGGACGCCTTTGTCCAAGGCTACGTCATGGACAAAGGTGCTCCGGAGCGGCTGCTGACCGACCAGGGTAAAAATTTTTCCGGGAACCTCCTCAAACAAGTCTGTGAGCTCCTAGGTACAAAGAAGATTCGTACCTCTCCCTATCACCCACAAACTGACGGGATGGTCGAGCGTCTGCATCGTACCATCACGTCTATGTTGTCGCACCTGGTTTCGGAGTCACAGACCAATTGGGACTTGCAAATTCAAGGGGTCCTGGCAGCATATCGATTGGCCCCCCATGCTGCCACGGGATTTTCACCCTTCTTTCTCATGTATGGTCGCGAACATGACCCACCTGTTCGGGCACAGCTGCAGATCCCCGCGCCTCTAGGTAAAATTAAATTGGACGAGCACGTTAAATTTAACCTTCGAAAGCTAACTGAGGCGCGGGATGCTGCCATGCTCAATTCCCGCATGCGCCAAAAGGCGAATGAGCGCCTCAGACTCGCGCGCGCGCACGTGCTGCAGTGGAAGCCAGGGGACAGGGCATGGCTGCACTGTCCCCAGGTACCGCTTGCGACCTCCTCGAAACTGGTACGGCCATGGCGGGGCCCCGTCGAGGTGGTCGAGGTTTTGCGACCGCAGTGCGTTCGTATCAAGTGGGGGAGGCGCCGGTGGTTCGTTCACCCCTCTAGACTAAAACCCTTCGTTGCGGTGCGGGACTCTGCTCCACACGCGCAGGGCCAAGCATGTGAGGGGTCGACCGACCCGGAGGGTCCGCCTCTGTTGATCTCACCTGACGTCTTGCCGGTTGCCCCGCCCCCAGGTTCTCCCGGAATGACGGGCTCGCGCACATCCCTCACGGGGGATGCCGAGGGTCCCGCCACTCCAATTGCGGACTCGCCTCGGATGGGACAGCGGCCACCGAATGGTCCGCCATCTGAGGTTGGCCCTTGTGACGGGCCTGCGGCAAGGACGCGCGCTAAAATGCGCAGACTCTTATAAAAACACTGGAACGCGAACAAGAAGTGAAAACGAAACGAAAATAAGAAGAAAATTTTTTTTTATTTTTTTTTGCGTTTTCTGGTACACTTTCGTGTGCTATTGTTGCTGGACGCTGCGTTCGTGTGGCGCTCTTGGCGCGTTGTTGTATTATGGCTGTGTGTGTGTGTGCGTCTTGTGTGCGTGTTGTGCGTGCGCTGAGGGTTCCGGGAAATGTACATATCTTGCCTCTACGGATTTCGTATTTATTCGGGGGGGGGGGCGCGTCGGTTTGTTCTCCCTTTAGGGGCATTGTTAGTGTTGTTGTTTAATTCTCGTTCTGTTAAATGGAAAAAATGGGGCACACACGGGGGGAGTCAAGGGGTAAAGATTCATTGGTTGAAATTGTTGCAGCCGGGACGGCTGCGAGCTATGCGGGGGGGAGTGATGTAGGGATGTTGGAGAGAGGGCCGTTATGCATGGCAGCCTATGGGAAAGAAACACAGTGGGCGGGGCTACGTGTGTGCACAGGGAGATGCCCTCTGCGACGTCCGAGCCAGACACCCTGGGGGGGGCTGGTTCGGCGTTACGATCCCCCGGGGCCCCACCCCTCAAGGAGGGTTGGGTATAAAAAGGGGTCGTTATATGGGCTTAGTCAGTTATGTGATAGTTAAGCTAAGAAGTCGGAAGACGTCGTAGCTAGAGCCCTGGACTCCCCCTGATCGCCGCCCTTATCAGGGCCCCACGGGATCAGGCTCGAGCCAGTGGCGTGGTCCCGTGAACCAGAGCCAGTGCTCTGGGACTCCGGGTACCGAGCCCGATTACCAGTGTCGGGCCAGACAGCCTCCCCTAGCTCTTAGTGGAGGACTCAGGGGATAGGCTATGGATAGCTAGGGGTGTTCCCTGAGTTATACGGGTGAGGGGGCCGCTACCCCCTCTAGGGCTGTCCTGTACTGGCAACTTGTTAAATAAATATACGTGTGCCTCAACTCCGTTGTCAAGCGTCCTCGACGGGTACTTCACATACATACATGTTACATGCACATATACTTACTACAAACAGACATGTTACATACATACATGTTACATACATACAAAGCAGTCTGCAACCGTGAATTGTGCAGCTTGGAATAATTGAGGACATCGCGTTTACCAGTTTACATGTTATAGAGTACAGGTGATCCCCGGTATACTTCGGGATTCGGAACCGGAGCGTTGCAAAACGATTCATAACGAAGAACTTCCCCCGCCAGAGAGCAAGCCGCTAATGAAAACAACTCGGGCGGCGGGACCACGTGCGTCCATGAGCGGTAGGGGACAGGGCATGGTTGTATTGCCCACAGGTGCCACCGGGTACGTCCCCCAAGTTGCTCCGCCCATGGCGGGGTCCAGTAGAAGTCATAGAGGTGAAACGGCTGCAGTGTGTATGAATACAGATAGGGCGTCGCCGTTGGTTCGTCCACCCATCGCGCCTCAAGACTTATGTCCGTCCCCACCCAGACAGCTCATCCCCATGTCCTGTACAGCCCAAGTCTGGTGTGTCCGACGTGGTGGGGCTCTCGGCAACGGAAACCGTACGCCAAATGAAATGTGTTGTGATGCCCACAGTTTCTGAGCCCCTGAGGCCCGGGCTACCGTCAAAGATTTGTCCATGTAGGCATCCAGATATTTAAACACAGAGACAGTTTCAACTGAGAAGATGGGTATAAGCTGATCTCTTAGCTTCGGTGTATCAATGGTTCTGGCTGTGTGGTGAGCTGTGTGTGTCTCAATGGCGCGGCCAACGTTGCGGTGATTCTCTTGCGTGGACGCGCTCGCCTCACAGCGCAGTTGGCAGCGCCGCAGCAGCTTGTGTTACACACAGACGTGACATTAACTGTCCACTGTTGGATGAATGTGTGGTAATGGAATTTAATAGCTATTTACAGTATATACCTGTAGACAACCTGTAGTGTTGTTTGAGAGCAGCTACTAAAGTCGCTGCGGCAAACGAGGTGGTGGCTGGCCAAACCATGCCTCGCTGTTTGTCTCCGGAGTGATGACGGATACCAATCAGACCAAGCGGAGACCATGTACCAGATCGGATTTTGGTTACTGATGTTAGAGTGATTGTATTGCAAATGTGGTCACTACTCGTCTGTACGTGCTCACTCCCGATGCTCGGCGGTTTTTGGCAACGCCACGGGGCTGCATTCACTTTAAATCGAGGACAATGGAGGGCATGGGGAACGTGTTTTTCCATTTATTCAAAATAAGTGCACAATTACACACTGAGATGCACTTACATATTCATGCATGAAGCACAATGGGCACATTACCCTTCGGTATGTTAATAGACATGCGGATTGTACCTTCCAAAATTAACAATCGAATGCAAATATCCTGAAAGACAAAGGATTGAATCCTAGGGGGGGGGAGTTATAAGGCGGCTCAGAAGCAGAGCTCAATGCCATTTCGAGAGGGAACTTGATGAGGTTGGACGCTCGACTCGTCGCTCTGCTGATCGCCCTTCAACCGCGAGACAACGCAGCCTGGCGAGCACAATTGCTGTGTCGACAGTTAGGCGACTTTGCGTCGGGAGAGTTCGTGGCGACATCTTTAGACGGGTTACAGACACCGATATACCGTGAATCTCCAAGTAAGTGTCTATTTTCGCGGATAAACTCTTAAACGTGTTCGTCGTCAAATTTACGGGAATTCTTTGCGTCTCGATTAGACGCGAGAGTATTTTTGACACCATAACACCACTGCTGTTACTACGCTCACATGGAGCAGAGACGCTCTCCACAGCCCCACGTACACGGAGGCAAGAAGCCATTCAATTGCTCTGTGTGTGGGAAGTCCTTTTCATGGCCATCTGATCTTAAGAGACACCAGAGAACGCACACGGGCGAGAAGCCGTTCCTGTGCCCTGTGTGTGGAAAGGCATTTGCAAAGTCATCATATCTTCAGAGTCACCAGAAAACACACACGGGTGAGAAGCCATTCCTGTGTTCTGTGTGTGGGAAGGCATTTGCACGGTCATCAACTCTTCACGATCATAAGAAAACACACACGGGCGAGAAGCCATTCCTGTGCCCTGTGTGTGGGAAGACATTTGTACAGTCGTCAAAATGGAACAGGCATCAGAAGGTCCACGATGATAGGAAGCTGAAATCAAAAGGTGGAATTCAAGGTGCTGCAATGATTCCTGAAGATAATTCCACTATCGATCCCATGCAGTTGGATCCCGAGAGATGGCTGGATGTAATGGAGTGGCTAGAGGATCAACCCGAGAGCTCGGGGTGACTGAAATATAATGTTGCATGTAGTTATACCTATTAAGCCGTATCGAGCACTTTTGTGTGTAATTCTGTTCGTTTGAGAGTTTCTTGACGTGCAGGTGGTGATTTTTGATTTTGTCGGATTTAAGTCTTCCTGTTGAGCTAAAGTTGGAATGCATCTGTAGTTAGATCTTTACTCAACATTTTAAACGGGTTTTTTTTCAAGTATAAAGTTTTTTTTGGATGGTAATAATCTGCTTTGGTATGTACATTGATGACGCGTTCGTTGGATATATGGCCTTGACTTCAACATAGACGCACAGTGAACAAACATGGTGAACTAATAAGGACATCATGGGTAATGATACTTTAGCGCTTTGGTATTCCTGGAACGGATATGGTTTGCATTGTATTGTAACATAGGACAAAATACATTCGGTTCGAGTTTTGACTTAAAAATGATTGCAGATGAATAAAAAAGTTTTTTTTAACAAATGTGTGTCCGTTTATGTATTCATATCAACAACGTGTTTTAAGCGAGTTTCAGGTGGAGGATCTTCGTCACACAACCATATAAACGGAGGTAATGTATTATAATATCATTAGAAGCATTAGAATCACAGTGTGGTCGTATAAGAATCGCTAATATGTATGTATAGTGTACGTGCAAGGATCGGATAAAAATTATTACAATTACAACATGGTCATATACAATCACGATTTTCACTGCTAGATGTCATCGATTAACAAGACGGAATATATTTATATAAATACACGCACAAACCAATTATAAACGCTTGCGATTATGAATCGTTACAATTTTATAACAATCACAAATTGTAACAAAGCGAAATTCCAACAAGCAAAACACCACGCTCACGTGATTGCTGAGGATGAGTGGTGAGGGAGAGTGGTGAGGGTGAATGGTGAGTGCTGAGTGGTGAGGGTGTGTATATATGTAAGGTTATTAAGACATATTTTTCACCCGGGCAACGCCGGGTACTACTGCTAGTTAATAATATACAGCATTGATATTTTGCGTGGAGCCTACAAGCGCAACCTTGCGCATTTTGACCTGGTTCTCGACGCCCGTCCCGCGCCCATGGTAGAATCTTGTGCATTTCGGGGCGTCAAGGGTTCGCACCACAGCCTTGAAGGATTAGGCAGGTCCCTGGCTTCTTTTGAAGAATATGACCAGGCTCCAGGCACTGGATCCTCGCACGTGGCGGATCCTTGAGGCACCCCGGGCCTCAGGGGCTCGGAAATTGTGGGCGCCACAACACATTTCATTTGGAGTACGGTTTCCGTTGCCGAGTGCCCCACCACGTTGGACACACCAGACTTGGGCTGTACAGGACATGGGGATGAGCTGTCTGGGTGGGGACGGACATAACTACATGCGTACACACTGCGGCCATTTCACCTCTATGACTTCTACAAGACCCCGCCATGGGCGGCGCAACTTGGGGGATGTACCCGGTGTCACAACCTGTCTACGACCGCCCATGGAAGCACGTGTTCCCGCCGCCCCGTGTTCTTTTCATTAGCGGCTTGCGCTCAGACAGGGAAAGTTCCTCGTTGTAAATCGTTTCACAACGTTCTGGTCCCGAAACCCGAAGTATACGGGGGATCACCTGTACTCTATAACATGTAAACTGATAACACTATGAACAATAACACTAAACATTAAACGACTTTAATTTTTTTTATAATAGATTCCACCATAAACGGAGTTACGGTATGAGAATGTCATTAGAAGCATTCTAATCGCTCATATGTTTGTAAAGTGTAGTTTCAATCGAATCGGGGGACGGATATGCGAACTGTGGGGGTTTGCAGGGTTAGAATCGAATTAAAATGATTCTAGTAACAATATGTACATCCTAAAGTCGACTATTATCAACCAAAAAAAGCTTAATACTTGAAAAAAATGTTTAAAATGTTGAGTAAAGATCTAACTACAGATGCATTCCAACTTTAGCTCAACAGGAAGACTTAAACACTACAATATTGTCCGGAATTGAACCATCTCATAACCACTGCTCATCACACCACTTCACCAAGTAATCCGACAACATCAAAAATCACCACCTGCACGTCAAGAAACTCTCAAACGCAGTGGCGGCTCCTGCAAAATCTTTCAGGGGGGGGCAAATGTCTGGATGATTGATAAGGATAAGGTCAACCCATGCAATGAATAAATTAACAGCTTAAGCATGTAAAGGCAACTTCACTTCTTTAATATTGTAGGGATGTTGGAGAGAGGGCCGTTATGCATGGCAGCCTATGGGAAAGAAACACAGTGGGCGGGGCTACGTGTGTGCACAGGGAGATGCCCTCTGCGACGTCCGAGCCAGACACCCTGGGGGGGGCTGGTTCGGCGTTACGATCCCCCGGGGCCCCACCCCTCAAGGAGGGTTGGGTATAAAAAGGGGTCGTTATATGGGCTTAGTCAGTTATGTGATAGTTAAGCTAAGAAGTCGGAAGACGTCGTAGCTAGAGCCCTGGACTCCCCCTGATCGCCGCCCTTATCAGGGCCCCACGGGATCAGGCTCGAGCCAGTGGCGTGGTCCCGTGAACCAGAGCCAGTGCTCTGGGACTCCGGGTACCGAGCCCGATTACCAGTGTCGGGCCAGACAGCCTCCCCTAGCTCTTAGTGGAGGACTCAGGGGATAGGCTATGGATAGCTAGGGGTGTTCCCTGAGTTATACGGGTGAGGGGGCCGCTACCCCCTCTAGGGCTGTCCTGTACTGGCAACTTGTTAAATAAATATACGTGTGCCTCAACTCCGTTGTCAAGCGTCCTCGACGGGTACTTCATCTGGCGTCAGAAGTGGTAAAAATGGAAACGCGCCATACAGCTCGGACCAGGGTACCACAAGAGGAGGACGCCGCGGAGATCGCCGAGCCCGAGACAGAGCAACAAGATGGGGTGCAGCCGGAGCCTGGCGCCTTCTCACCGGGACGTCAGCATGGAGAGGGGCCGCAGCCAGATGCACTACGACTGGCTCACGAACGGCTGGCGGAGCTACTTTATGCCGCTGCCGCCACACTGGAAGGCATTACGCGGTTGGGGGCTGGTGGTCCACCGCAGGGCGAGGAGAACCGGCGGCCGGAGCACTTTCCCGCCATTTCAGCGACTTCACAATTTGAATTTCCCGCCATGGACGCCGCGGCTGTTCGGGGCGTGGCCAGCTTAGACATCGGCTCCGACATCGCCGTCGCCGGGGCTGCAGCGTCATCGCAGCCGAAGGATGCGTCATCGCTGCCGCGACAGGCGATGCCATCGGCCAGTCGCGCCGAGGCACCGCCAAAGGGAGGTGAAAGCAACCTGCGGGAGTCCACATCGACCGCTGCGCTTCACCAAAGGCTGCCCCCGCTGAAGGAATTCATCGGTGCGGAGGGTGACTGGGGCGGCTTCCGGCGACGCTTCCTCGCCCATCAGGAGATGGCGCGGTGGTCCGACGAGGAGGCCCTTTGCGCGCTGCCGGCGCTCCTCGATGGGGACGCGCTCGCCGCACTCACGTCGGCGCCAAAAGAGAAGCGGGCTACACTACCAATGGCGCTACAGCTGCTGGCCGGGGTCTATGGACCTTCAGCCGAATGCCGTCAGCAGTTCTACGATCGCAGGCGGGGTGAAAAAGAGTCGCCTCTGGCTTTCCGGACAAGTCTTCTGGCGCTGGCAAAAACAGCCTTTCCCCGCATGGACGACGACGGCGTGGACGCAATGGTCGCGGAGAAGATCCTCCTCTTGGCGGACGACCTCGACATCGTCGTCATCGCACAAGGGGATGCAGAAATGACCTCCCTCCAGGCTGCGCGACTCCTCCACGCCAACCTTCTGCAGCAGCGGCGAAAGGCAAACAGGGCATCGGCTGGGCGTGCGGTGGCTGCAGCCACCCTTCCGTCAGAAGAACTTTATGCCGTCGACCATCGACGGCAACAGACGACGGGGGCGCGGCCGGGTCGGGACGGGCCGAGGCGTTTCGACCGTCCATCGTCTCCATCGGCGCTCCCGCGGTGCTTCAACTGCGGCATCCGGGGCCATGTCGCCTCGGGGTGCCGTTCTCCTCGACAGCGGGGGACGACGCCTCGACAGGACGCCGGCCCTCCTCTTCCTCCTCCCAAGCTCCAGCACCATGATCCGGCGAGTCGCGGCACCTCACATGTTTGGCCAACGCACCCACCTGTCGCACACTCTCGCACCGTAACGAACGGGGGGCCGGTGGGGCGCTGCGATGGACCGGCGCGGATCACTGCGGGGGCTCAAATCGAGCCCGAGCGGTGGTCCGTGTTGGCCCATCGCGTGGTGGCCGCGGCGTCGGGATCGTCGGCCGTGGTCGGTTACATTGATGGGGTGGAGGTACGCATCATAGTCGATACAGGGGCATCGGCGACAATTATTTCGGAACTAATTTACAATATTCTACCGGTGCAGAGCCGTCCTTTGCTACCGGTTAATGTCCCTTTCTATGCCGCTAACGGGGGCTCTCTCGGCATCGTGGGACAGATTCGAGCGCAAATTTCTATCGGGGACATCAAATTGTCGGGGCCGATTTTTGTCTCCTCCTCACTGGCAGTTCCGTGCCTGCTGGGGACGGACTTCTTGGGCAGGATGCCAATTCGTATTTTGATCGACCAAGGATGCATTGAGCTTCCGTCGGGGCGACGTATGGCGTTCCTGCCTTCCCCTGTAGCGACTCGGACGGCGTTCGCGACGGTACCGGCGTTCGTCGTAAAAACAGTGCGTGTGCCGCCGGGGGCACAAATGCTGGTACCTCTTAAACTTCGTAGGCCCTTCGCTAAGGGTGTTGGGGATCAGGGTGTTGTGCTGGGGCCGTCTAGGGCCGGGGTTAATGGGCCTCATTTA